TTTTCTAGAACTTTGCAGGGAGTTTTCCTGCTGCATTTCCATCCCCTCGCATTTTCCTGAATTTTACAGGGAGTTTTCCTGCTGCATTTCCATCCCCTTGCATTTTTCAGCGAGTTTTCCTGCTCCATTTCCATCCCTTCACATTTTCCTGAATTTTGCAGGGGGTTTTCCTGCTGCATTTCCATCCCCTCACATTTTGCAGGGAGTTTTCATGCTGAATTTCCATTCCCTCGCATTTTCCAGAGTTTTTCAGGGAGTTCAGGTCCCGATTCCTGTCCTTCTCAGAGTTTTTTTCCCGGCACATGGCCGGGATGCTGTGCAATATCACCACAGGGGTTTTTTTTTTAGGGTGGAGCCGCCATCCCAAACTCACCAAGGAGCATCTTCCCCCCAAACTGCTGCTCCCAAACCCCAACCCTTTGTGTCACCCCACTTTTAGGGATCTCAGTACTCACCAGCCAGCTCCACCACGGAGACAACGACACAGAGGAGCTGCTTCCACTTCATGGCTGTGCAAAATCCCAAAAACAGCATTCCCTGTTYCCACRGCAGCTCCCAGGCTCCGAGTCCTGCAGCAGCTCTGAGCTCATRCAGCTTGGTTGGAGTTCAAACTTTTGAGATCACTCTCTGCTGGGGTGGGTTTCTCTTCAGGGGTTGTGCTTGTGCTCCAGGACTGCGAGGTGGAGTTTCTCTCCGCTTTGATTTTCCCCGCTTTTTTATAGAGTTCGTGGCAAACTCGCTATCACTTAGGTAATTTTCTCCTCCCCGCTTTCCTGCCAGCAGCTTCAAAACAAACAAAAGATCAGCCCTCTCCCCAGTGAAGGATCCCAAAGCCTGGCTGGGATTAACTCTTTCCTGAGAGCTGCTGTTTTCCTGTCYGAGGMAAGGCAGGGACGCAGCCTGATCCAGATGGGTGGAGGGATTGCAGCAGAGCCTGCAGCTCAACTTCCCCCAGAGCAGAGGAAATGGAGTGTGAGGAGAGCTGGGATGGGAGAAACCCCAGAAAACACAGCCTGAGGAGAGCAGGGATGGGAAAAAACCCAGAAAACACAGCCTGAGGAGAGCAGGGATGGGAGAAACCCCAATAAACGCAGCCTGAGGGGAACAGGGATGAGAGAAACCCCAGAAAACACAGTCTGAGGGGAGCTGGGATGAGAGAAATCCCAATAAGTGCAGACTGAGGAGAATAGGGATGGGAGAAACCTCAGAAAACACAGCCCAAGGAGGGCAGGGATGGGAGAAACCCCATGAGGAGAGCAGGGATGTACAGAAACCCCAAAAAACACAGCCTGAGGAGAGCAGGGATGGGAGAAACCCCAAGAAACGCAGTCCAAGGAGGGCAGGGATGGGAAAAAGCCCAACAAAAGCAGCCTGAGGAGAGCTGGGATGGTAGAAACCCCAATAAATGCAGACTGAGGAGGGCAGGGATGAGAAAAACCCCAAGAAATGCATCCTGAGGAGAGCGGGGATGGGAGAAACCCCAGAAAACACAGCCTGAGGGGAGCAGGGATGGGAGAAACCTCATGAGGAGAGCAGGGATGTGGAGAAACCCCAATAAACACAGTCTGAGGAGAGTGGGGATGGGAACAAACCCAACAAACGCAGCCCAAGGGGAGCAGGGATATGAAGAAACCCCAAGAAATGCATCCTGAGGAGAGCAGGGATGGGAGAAACCCCAGAAAACACAGCCTGAAGAGAGCAGGATTGTGGAGAAACCCCATGAGGAGAGCAGGGATGTACAGAAACCCCAACAAACGCAGCCTGAGCGGAGCAAGGAGGGGAGAAACCCCAGAAAACACAGTCTGAGGAGAGTGGGGATGGGAAAAAACCCAACAAAGGCAGCCCAAGGAGAGCAAAAACCCCAATAAACACAGCCCAAGGAGAGCAGGGATGGGAAAACCTGTAACAAACACAGCCTGAGGAGAGCAGGGATGGGAAAAACCCCAATAAATGCAGCCTGAGGAGAGCAGGGATGTGGAGAAGCCCCAGGTCCAGCCCTGCAAACCCCCGTGCTGCAGAAAACAGAGGAATGCTCAAAATGGGCTTCAGAGTCAGAAAATCCCTCAGCAAATGAAGCAAGGAACTCAAGGAAGTGAAATCATC